TTAGCATGTAAATGGATATTTGACTTTAAATTAAGCATTTAACCCATTCAGCCAGAATGTGCCCCTACTTTTTTTCACTTGTCTAACGCCAGGTTTTTAACATGTCTTAGAACCCTGCATATGTATATGTGCCTGTTTATGTGATAATGGCATGGCTGGACAGGAGGTTTTAATCCAGGGGCCGGTTGTTCAAAGGTGGGTTAACGCTAAACCTAGGTTAAAATTTAACCTGCTGTTTTAGTTCGTGTATTTCTGCACGTCTGTTTATTTCAAAACTTCAGAGAAGAAAACTCCTATCAATCCACACAAGATCTCTGAAGAAGTATTTCCAAATTTATAGACAAGCTGTCAGGAAGTTTGCTTTGAATTTTAGGTTAACCTACGGTTAAGCTAACCCAGCTTTGAACAACTGGCCCTGGGATGGTGTGTTTATATAGACGGAATACACCCCGCCTGGCAGGGATGATAGAGTGCTTGTATGAGAATTTCTTGTGCTGGCAAGTGTGATCCCGGCAACAAATAATGAGATCCTGTCTAGACCAGAAAGAAGTAGAATAATTCACTTTACTGTAAACAGTCGATAGAGTTTATATTGTAAGCTGGATCATGCCAAATGTCTAGCCTGGGATCATATTTAAAAAAAAATTAATAAATTAGGCACCAGCAGTCCAGCACTCTCCACTTAACCATGATGAGTAAAATGGTCTGACGCTAGACAGAGAACAATAATCTAGAGCTGGGCGCCGGAGAGCCGGCAGACAAAATTATGAAAAATTATTTCATATTTCAACGAACATTTTGCATTAAATGGGAAAATTAAGTGTTGTTGTTTACTAATATATTGCTATTTATATGTTGTTTTACTATATATTACTATGTGGTTTACTATTAATAGTGTTTTAAAAAGGTTTTTAAAAAAGATAAATTCTGAGATTACACTGAAATACTTTCGCCTGGTTCCACTTTTAAATATGGAATTTGGCTGGTTGCTGAGATGGGGTGTTAACTGGATATTACACTAAGCCGGACATTGCATAAGCCGCATTGTGCCACAACTTTATTGTTTTACTCGGTCTAATGTCAGATGATTTTACCTGTCAGTGCTATCACTCAATGGGTTACTGAAACAAGTAGCACTTGATTTAACCTCACTTGTATCTCCAATACAACTGAGGTTAAATCATAACCATATGAATGTTTTCTGGAATGAGACAATACCAACAACATTGCTCTTACATTTTATACCTATCTAATGGATTTGGCTGTTCAAAAATTCTTTCTCATGTTGTAAACTCTATCCTACATAACAGAATGATTACAAATAAATTATTGATTTCTTTTCGTGGGAAACTTTGAGTCACTATGGTCAATTTGAGTCCCAGAAATCATGGTCCCACAGTCAAAATTTCAAATTTTAACCCATGAAGTTGCATCGCACCCTTTATTGTATTCCTGTCTAACGCCAGACAATTTTATTCGTGAGTGGGAGAGTGATTGTGGTTAATTGGTTAAGGATGCCAAGTTAATATATCATGCTTTTAATAAGTAACAGAGTTGTAACTTCTAACTTAACACTTGCCCAGGGAAGTGAATATCATTGCCACAAAAAGCTGGGCATCTTTAAATTTATGTTTTCATTGCCGGATAATTTTTTTATACAGTCCATGTTTTACTTGTGCATGGATTCAAATTTTGTTTTTTGTGGGCCAAAGCTAGATCTGAGGCATCTAGATCTAGAGCAGTGGAAGAAAGGGTCAACAAGTTGTCCCCTTAATTTATACCCCCTACCTACAGTAGGTACCCCAGTGGCCATTGTCTGATGGCAAGTCAATTTTATTCAGGGCAGCTAATTTTCCTATCCAAGTTGGCAAATTGAACTTGCCCTAAGGACAAGTGGTCAAAATAGTAAAGTTATACCACTGACTACTGAGTAAAGTATATGAGCTAGAGTATCATGGTAATAAAAACTCTGGAATAAGGTATGCGGTTATTTTCAAAAAATGTACATCATCACTCATCAATAGGTTGTTGAAGAAGTTTGAAGGAAGAGAAGCAGAAGAAAGCGTATATACATGAGGAATTGTGAAAATCAGCAGCTGATTGACCAATTGGACCCACTTATTTACTATGGTATTTCAAAAGGAGTTATGAAGCCACCACATGATCAGTGATCTGGTAATTAAATCGTATCATTTTGTTTTTTTATTAATTAGAGTACCGGTACCAACATTGGATTCATTAGCACCGACATTAGGTGTCGTTAATAGAAAATAATGAATGAAAATTGCATTTTGGTGTATACTGTACCAGTAACTAATAAATGATATGAAAAATCAAAATTGCATTGTTTAGCTCTCAAAATATTACAAAGCTTTTATTGAAAATGTAACTTAATATTATTTTTTATGTATGTAATTCTATAGAAAGTACTTCTGATCACCTACAGTAATGAAGAACATTTAATTCACTCTTCAAATAAAAAAGTCAACCTGCTAAGAGCAAACTGGATATCATAAACTTTGTTGAGGTGAAGTTATAGTTTCATTTTATAAAATTCATTTGGTAAGGCCGGAATCAAATTTAGTGTACATATACATCTTCTTAGTTTTGAGCTTTCCTATATAGTTGAGATAAGTTAATATGGGCTAACATCTGCCGACTGAGTGTCTCTTGTTCCATCCATCATACATCCTTTTCATAAATGGCTGCTGATTAAAAATCTTTTATGTGCATATAAATTGGCCCAACTAGCCTCGTACTCATGTTAAGATTTCAATGGAATAAAAATTCCTTTGAAATCTTAACATGAATACGAGGCTAGTTGGGCCAATTTATATGACCTTATATGCACATAAAAGAATTTTTAATCGGCAGCCATTTATGAAAAGGGTGTATTGTATTTCGCTCTGCATGTCGATCTATAGCCCCAGGGGATAGCTTGTTAGTGAAAATATAAGCCGTTAATTCATGAGGGTTGTGTAGTTGTTACCAAAACTATTTTAATTTGTGCTTTTTTCCTCAAAAGGAAGGAGACACAGACTTGACTACCTGGCTACAAATGAGGCCCGCTGACATACTGTATCAGGGCTGATCATGACATGGAGCTACTGGCAACATTCCAGAATACTCGAAACCGTAAAAACCATCGTTTACTTCCTGGCGTTGTTCTACTGTACCTGCTCGACGTAAGACTACCCAGCCACTCATCCAGACTCAGCAGTCTGACATGGTAAAGGCTTTTCAAGAAATTGAACAATATTGCTATGTGTGAGAACTTTTACATTTATCTATCAGTAATTACTTTAATAACCTATTCATGTATACCTGGTAAATATATTATTTTAAACATTCTTAATTGTTTTTATATTGTAGGAGGACAACAGCAAAAAATCATGCCAAGATTATTATTCTAGTTCAATATTGTCATTTAAGAAAAATATTCTTAAAAGCCAATCGAACTAGAATAATTTTCTTAACAGGATTTCAATTCAAGACAATTTTTCTAATTTTGTCCCATAGATAAGTAAAATTTTCTTATTAAGATTATTTTTCTTATTTCAAGAAAACGTTCTAGCAAAATTTTCTTATTACTAGAAAATAATTCTTGGGAAACTAAGAATTTTTTTCTAGAAATAAGAAAATTTGGCTAGAACGTTTTCTTGAAATAAGAAAAATATTCTTGATAAGAAAATTTTACTTACCCACGGGACAAAATTAGAAAAATTTTCTTACCAAGAATTTTGTTCTAACCAAGAATTTTGTTCTAACCAAGATTAATTTTCTTATTTTAAGAAAAATTGATTTTTTGCAGTGCGTACGGATGTTCTGATGATCACTTCTTCTTTTTCATTAATGTCTAATGAATATCTCAATAAAATGTTATATAATAATGAAAGTGTTATATTCCTCACTGAACTATATTAGGCAAATAAATTTATCAATATAAAATCCAGATAATATGCCACTATACACATAAATGCATGCAGGTTCTCCATTTACAGTAATTTAATTATACTATATGTATATAATACACTGATATAGTACTAAGTAGTTTTGCATGTATATTCACTAGCACATAATCAGTATTATATATATACGTTTTGTAGTCCATCAAGCAAACAGCCTACAGCAAACCTGCAACGAGTTCAAGAACCAATGCTCTAATAACAATGAATCCCAACTGTATTCCCAAAAAAATCAGAGGTGATAAGCAAATGATGATAAGGTAAAAATGCATGCATTTTATTATATAAAGAATAGTGCTTTATAGAGATTTCAAAAACTCATTAATAATTCATGAAGCAATTATCCAATCTTGAGTACGAAATTAGTCACGTGCATACGTCTTTATACCAGCTAAAGAACACTTTAACAAAAGACCATTGTTATGCAAACTATATAAAGATTTTTATATAAAGATTTTTATATAAAGATTTTTATATAAAGATTTGACTTATTATGCACACGTTTTTGAAGCCATTTAAAAAACTCGCGGGTCGTGTTTTATTAGGTCTAAAGCCACTCGCGCTGCGCGCTCGTGTCTTTAAACCTAATAAAACACTCCTGCTCGTTTTTTAAATAGTACTTCGAGCACTGATAAAAGTGATAATCTCACATGTGAGATTATTCATGATAATCGCACATGTGAAAATTATCGCTTTTCAATTATCGCTTTTCTGTAAAAATTATCGCTTTTCAAAGACTGTCCTTTATATAATAAACAGAAAAATACACGGGTGCTTGGAAATACCAGATTTATTTATCGTGTTGAACATGATATCTCACTAGTTCGTTGCGCTCACTCGTGAGATATCGATCATGTTCAACACTCGAAATAAATCTGGCATTTCCGCGCACCCATGTATTATTCTTTATATATCTTTTTGGTAAAATCATCTAGCAACTCAATAACACGTTCCTTTCATAAAATTAGAGTGTTTTCACGGATTGCAGTAATCCCATTCAAGGAAATTAATGAGGAACAAAACCTGGAAACATGTATGTTCCTGGATGAGAAATTAAAAACTATAACAACGCATTTGGCAAAGAGCGTTGGTGTTTTTTTGGAGCTTGCTCCACAGTTTGATGTGATGCACCGGGATCAAATGTTTATACAGATATCGTCACAAGTGAAAAAGAACAAATTGGACGTTCGTGCCCAGTTCAATTATGCCCTGTTGCTCTATTCAACAGGAAAGGTATAGCCACAATATTCAATCAAGGCAACTTATAGACTTTTAAAGCATGCCAAAACGTTAAATCATTCGCATCCGATCTTTTATGATATAGAAACTATCGCCTTCGGCTTGAGTTTGCATATCTGATAAAGATCGCCGGATCGGCTGCAAATGTGTTAACTATAGAGTATAGTACACATTATCCTAAAAGTACAACGTATTTCAGATCATTTTTTTATTGAACCACATAGCTATAAGCACGTAATTATTTTTCTATATTTCTTCTAATTAGATGCTAGAAAAGGTGGGTTTGAAAGACCGTTTTTTCCCCGGACTGCTGGAGTTTTTCTGTAATGTAGTTACGCAGCAGTACAAAAACAGTATACTAACTGACACACAGCCTTCAAGTTCAAGAGTAGCTGAAACACCAACGTTAACAAACGACATGACGGCAATTTTAATTGCTATAGTCACAAGCGCTACCAAAAGTCCAATTGAGGTAAGTTACATGATAGACTCCACTCTCTAGGCTATAGCTCAGACAAGGTTTATGGGGGGGGGGGGGGTGTTGACTCTGAAACAATTATGACTAATTCAATGTAATGAAAATATCAATTTGATATGCCATACGGCTAGTTTTTCTAATTTTAGCATTGTCTATAATTCCTTAATTATTTAAAACGTCGATTACTCATTCAATATACTGCATGGATTATCTTAATATTGACTGTCGGTTACTTTGTATCAATCTCGAACCCTTTAATTAAAACCTATCAAGCAGATTAAACAGTAACGAGAGAGTAAAGTGAATGAAATTTTAACATATTTAGGTGTGTCAATTCTTCGTACCAAAATTTTACGCCAGAGCTTGTGGTTGTGGAGAGGTGTTTGGATTTAAGGTGACTGATGCGTTGGAATACCTAGGCAAAAGCAATAAAGGGTTGGAGAACGCATTAAAGAAGTCACATTCGGACATCTCGTCTGGGATGTAACGGAGTGCGCATAAATGTTGGTGAAGGGCAGCCGAAAGGATCACACATACAAAGAAACAAATTGCCCGAAGCTATAATACAAAACTTGGACAAGGGTTAGTTAAACATTCAAAGTAGGTAGATCGGATCGCAGTCTCTATAATTTTCCGTGTCCATATTACATATACGGTATTTCGTTTCCAAATGTATTATTATACCTAACGTTGAACATATACCATGAAAACAATGTGTGCAAACGTTCTTTGCTGATCGTTTAAACAAATATTATATAAACATTCCCTTATTCCTTGTTCTCTAATCTCGTGTTAAGAAAATGTTGATAATTTCTACATTAATAAGTCATGTTAATGGATCATGTTATGTTGTTTTCAGTATTTCCCGATGCAAAAAAATTAGCAGAAATAAATCAAAAACAGAAATCTTCAGGTATACATTCTATTTATATTATTTTTGGTACAGTACGCATTTATTGATGCGGTACGCATTTATTGTTCGTATATGTAAACAGGCAGACGTCATTACTCAGAGGTATAGAGTATATTATGTAATATAAAACATTTTCCCGGTTGATATTTAATTTAGCAATTATGCGCCGAAGGCGTGGTGATTATGGTGGAATATTCACCGAGACGAAAAAAGTCTTGTTGCCACAAGTCTTTTGTGTTTTTTGGGACTGATTTTATTTTAATTTCGCTTATTTCTTTATTAATAACTTACACAAAACGCCTAGCCACTGCAGACAAGAAGCTCCCTGAAGTGCTAAATAATCACACTGGTAAATGAATTGCCCTTATATTAATTTACTTCTTATATCTGCAGTTGTAAACGACTTCTTTTAACAAGCAGCGGACGCTATATATTGCTATATAAATATATGTTTATACATTTTTAGCCACTGCCACTGGCACTGCAGACAAGAAGCTCGCTGAAGTGCTAAATGATCACACTGGTAAATTAATTGCCTTTATATTAATTTACTTCTTATATCTGCAGTTGTAAATGACTTCTTTTAACAATCAGCAGACGCTATATATTGCTATATAAATATATGCATGTTTATATATTTTTAGCCACTGCCACTGGCACTGCAGACAAGAAGCTCCCTGAAGTGCTAAATGATCACACTGGTAAATTAATTGCCTTTATATTAATTTACTTCTTATATCTGCAGTTGTAAACGACTTCTTTTAACAATCAGCGGACGCTATATATTGCTATATAAATATATGCATGTTTATACATTTTTAGCCACTGCCACTGGCACTGCAGACAAGAAGCTCCCTGAAGTGCTAAATGATCACACTGGTAAATGAATTGCCTTTATATTAATTTACTTCTTATATCTGCAGTTGTAAACGACTTCTTTTAAAAATCAGCGGACGCCATATATTGCTATATAAATATATGTTTATACATTTTTAGCCACTGCCACTGGCACTGCAGACAAGAAGCTCCCTGAAGTGCTAAATGATCACACTGGTAAATTAATTGCCTTTATTAATTTACTTCATATAGTTGCAGTTGTAAACGACTTCTTTTAACAATCAGCGGACGATATATTTTTAAAAATATATAGGCTATGTTTATACATTTTTACCCACTGTAGGCAAGAAGCTCCCTAAAGTGCTAAATGATCACACTGGTAAATGAATTGCCTTTATTAATTTATTTCTTATATAGTGGGACCCTAATATATGTTTATAAATCTTTAGACACTGGAGACAAGGATCAACATGAAATGTCAGAGAATGACGATGGTAAATTGCCTTTTTAGTGTGAAGTTTCACTTCACACTGTTGTGATGGCTGGCGAATTCACACGAATCAGTCAGTCAGTCAGTCAGTCAAACAGTCAGTCAGTCAGTCATAGAGTAAACTTTCCGGGGGTGTATACGATTTATGTTCGCAGTGATTTATTGTACTTAGTCAGTGCTTTGAAGGTTAGTTAAGCAATTTTATTTATTTTTTTTAAATATTCTTTTGTCCTTTTGCCAAGTTCACAAAAATTTCGAGGAATCGTTGTCGTTATTGTAAATTTTTGTAATTTCAGAACATCCGCTTCTCATGTTGTGTAAAGGATCTTTCCCCCCGGAACACCCGATTTTTCTATAGCAGGGCAAATGCGCATGCGCTATGAAGCCGTAGATCACGATGCTAGGAAGGAGCGACAGAAAATTTAAACATTTCAGACGTGAATATTGAGTAAATCTTTGAGAATCTACGCAATATATAAATTTATGTTATGCAGGACGGTCTTTCAATCAAGTACTGATATATGTGGAACGGTATATTCATTAATATACAGAGCTAGGAAGGAGCGACAGTGTTGTTTTCAAATGTATAAACATTTCAGACGTAAATATTGAGAAAATCTTTGAGATTGTAGGCATTCAATTGAGTGCCGATATTATTTTCACGGCATACTCGTTATACAGGGGTACAGTATACGTAGGCAGAAGCGAGACAGTGTTGTTTTCAAGTAATATGAACATTTCAGACATGAATATTGAGAAAACCTTTCTCCTTTGAGATTCTACGCAATAATACTATTATGTTGTGCATTACCGGTATTCAATAAGTGACCATCGATATTATTTAGACCGTGTATTCATTATACATTGTCATTGACTGTATAAGGTGCTACATCACAAAATAGATGGCTACGCTCACTGTACAAAGAGCCAAACAACTATTAAACAGAAGCGGGTAAGCGTTTGTACGGCGTTTACAAAGAAAATAACTTGCGAGACTAAAGAAATCAGTTGAGTCAGAGCTCCTTATTTAAATAAGAAAGACGAGGAGATAGCCAATGCGTTATCGCCAACGTGTTATCGCCAATCGCTTGGCTCGCCAACAAGCTTTATGCAATAGAAAAAAAATAGGTACGCACTGCGTACATGTGGCTAGCCTATTCAGCTTTTCGAATACAGCTGGAGTTCACATTGTCATGAACATTCAACACAAACATTCATTCTGATACAAAATTAATAATTACAATAGAAGAATGGTCAAAATAAAACAGATGTAGCATCTTTCTTACAATGCCAACAAATGGCTACAATCACTTGATTTAAAAGCAACATTGGTTGGTAGCAATATTGTTCAGCCAACAATATTATTGAGTCACACTAGTACTTTAATTAATAAATGTTTTGCTAAAATAATAAGCATATACAGGCAACTATAAATGATGTCAATTTTATTGTTTTTCAAAATTTCACTAATATGTAATTCACTAAGATTTCATTACATTGGGTTTCTTGTTACAAATAAATTTTGGTGTCTGGTTTACAAGTTATTAGCTTTTCTTGAATTACTGGCATAGCAGATTTCATAAAACATTTAAATTCAAAGTTCTTCATTATATTAAATATAATATTTAATACTACATTTCTAAACATTTTTTTATTTATTGTAAAATCTAACAGCATCGGAATTTATAATGAACTCATCAAATCAATTATGTCATTACCACTAAGATTTTTGTCTGATAGTTGTATTGCCCTGATACTTGCACAAATATTCTGATCTTCCTATATTATCCAATATTATTACCAGTCACCATATTATCAGCAAATTGACCAGAATATATGTTCGCTTAGTTGTTTGAAGTTGTAAATGCCATGTAGATGCCATGCATCACTATGATTTTGAATTGTGCTTTTATCTGCAAATTGTTTAAAAGTAAAATCGTCTGGCATTAGACAAGTAAAAGAAATAAGTAGGGTGCACTGGGGTGCATAGCCTGCGTAGCAGGCGCTATTTAGGGGGGAGGGCGAGGGTGGGAGAAGCTAGGGGGGGTGCGAAGGCGAGAGAAAGAGAGCGAGGAAAAATGGAAGGGGCGAGAAGAAAATAGCTATTTCTTTCTCGCCCTTCCCATTTTTCCTCGCTCTCTTTCTCTCGCCTTCCCATCCCCCCCCCTAGCTTCTCCCACCCTCGCCCTCCCCCCTAAATAGCGCCTGCTACGCAGGCTAGGGTGCATTGCAGCTCGGTGGATTAAACAACATTTAACTGTAGCTATAAAAGTATGAACATGCTACTCAATTGACACTGCTGTTATTAAATGCTGAAAGAAAAGTTGAAATATATATACCCTTCACATATATATACCCTCGCAACTGCAAGGGTCAGTGTTGTATGGTGATCAGTTAGTGCACTGATTTTCAGGAATGTAGCGAAGCGTCTGAAGTTTGGGAGGGGGGAGGGGTGTCGGATGTCAAATGGTCATCATTTCACAAATATAACAACTTTTTTACACAAATTTTACCTCAAATGTCAAAATTTACACTATACTTCAATTTTACCTGAGTTTCACAGTTGTGGGGTTTACATCCCTGTGGGGTTTACACACACCCACACCCCTGTCTCTACGTCCCTGCTGATCTTAGATCAGTTATATATTTACATCTGGACTTGATATCCAAAAAATATACTGCACCTACTGTATGTCATGCAGTTGTATTTCCTGGTTTAATAGGTCATGTAAAATAATACATTTTCTGTAAAATAATATGTAAAATAATACATTTTCACTCAATTACTTCCATCTAGAAGATCCTTCAACTGTATGTAAACAGACTGAGCTTCCATGCTAGTGACTACTATAGACTATATTAATATAAAATAGTCCAGCCTGTTTTCTGTGTTAATTGTAGTTTTGTACCTGCTAGCTAGTGGATAGGGCCAGTTGTAGTGTTGTTATAAAATATACCAACAATGGACTTGCTTCTTATATAATTTACCCACATAATGGTGCAAGATCTGTTATTCTGTGCAAGAACGTTCGATTATAAACAGGATTGTAAACTCACTATCAAGCTTTATATGAAGAGTGATCAAAATCTCTTTGACCAGAAGCAGAGTCCAGAGCAGACATGAATAGCAATGATATTGACAGATTCACAAATTGTAAACATAAAATATATCGATTGAAATAACAAAAATTAACTTACCGTTTCTGTGAAAAATTCATTCGAGTATTTCTACGAGAGTTGCCAACTGTATAAATTTTGCTGAGTGAGGCATATATCTGCCACTTTAAAGTCGTTACCCGTTAATACGATCACAGTATAAGGATACGATACCTTTTCTGTGGCATTTATTGCAGCCATTTAATATCATCGCCTCATGCCATCAACGACAGTTTCCGAAGCCAGTCGACAGGTTCCGTCACAACTTCACAACTCTTACAGTTTTAGCGTTACATTGTGGCTAGCCCGCGAACGGGCTAGCCACAAAAAGCAAGGAGGTACATGCAGCCAACGTGTTCCGTCACGGGCATTTACGCCGTTGTCAACGGTGCAAATTCTTGTTCAGTGCAGCGATAACTCTACCAGATCTTACGAAAATCAATCTGTAGTATTCTGTACACAGAACTGTTCAAAGCTTGTCAAAACTGCTTTAAACATTGCTTAACTGTGAAACTATTGAAATCTAAAGTGATATTATTCAACACATGCGAAAAGCTGAAAATAAACGTGACACTGGGAAAAGTCAATGAGACATTGAGACTAGTTGTTATTGTGAAGCATGTCACAATTAGGTTAAAATGCGGAAGCGGATGGAGCGGATCCACGGAACGGATATGCAGATAAAATACGGAACGGATGAGGATAAAATGCGTCCTTTTAATGATGTAACGACGTAATGCTTATTATTCATAACATATCTTACACAGCTATTTCAATTATAGTTTTAGATAAATTTAGCATAGCAGTAGCCTCGTGGGGAGCTTTTAGCGACAGCTGCAAATGCAAATAAAAATTTAGAATATGCAAAATTTGGTTGTTGGTGAAACCATTTAAATTTTGAATTGTCTCGTGTAGCATCGTGTAGCATCACAATAAATAAATAAATTGCATCAGTTTCACAAGTCACGTTTCTGGTGTGTTAGGCTTGTTTCAAACGTCACGCTACTCGTGTGCCGAGCGTATTAAAAGCGATAAATGAGATGAAATGCCTTTGGTAACTGTTTATTTCGTAGTGTAAGCCATCAGCTTTTCTAGGTTGTCGGCGACCATATATAGTTCTTGCAGTGTCTTTTTCAATTCGAAACTTATCAAACACGATATCCCAACTTAAAACGGATAATTCTGTCATTTCAGACGATAAATTGAAATCTGAGGCTTTTAACGATTTCTTTGTCAATATCGGGGCAAAACTTGCAGCTGAAATTGAAGATAATTCCCTCAACACAAATTATTTTGCTCGCGGAGATTCTAGGCCTACTACCGACTCCAATCTTTTTTTCAAATTTTCTGAAATTAACGAGGACGAAGTAATATATCAATTGCGTAGTCTCAAAATTTCAAAATCCACAGGATTAGATAACATCCCTGCTAAAGCCCTTAAAATATCCGCGGACATTGTTGGTCCGCCATTAACTTGGATATTTAACCTTTCGATCAAAAAAGGAGAATATGTGGATGAATGGAAAAAAGCCTGGGTTACACCCATTTATAAATCTGATGACAAGTTGAAATGCGAGAATTATCGCCCTATCTCGATACTACCCATTGTTAGTAAAATACTTGAGAG